TGTGGGCTGTGGGTGAGAACATAGTGAATTATCTGTGATTTCAAAAAGATTATAAGCAAGGAAGGAAGATAAAAGAAGAAGTTTTGTGTATGGTGGGGTAAGAGCATGGGTCATATTGTATTTGGCCCAAAAGAGAGGGGGCAAAATGATCCAGTCTTTGGAGGTGTAAAGTTCATTGTGTCTGTGAACAACAAAACATGCAATTTGCCAAGAGTAGAAACAACATCAAAGGGAATGGTGGGAGATGAGGAAAAGTTTTTCCTCAATTATCTTCCAGATTTTTCCTTTGGCTTTCAAATGCAGTACGGTGTCAATTTATTTGAAATTCATTTGGTGTTCTCTCTTAGCTGCCCTCATGCTCAGAGTATCTCTTCCTGCTTCTTCTAGTTCTTACCTACTCATATAATCTTATCTATTCTCATCTCTCCTGTTACCATATAGTCAAGATCACTGTCTGGAACTTCAACCTGTAATTTCAACTGTCCTCTAGACAGTTCACCTGGACTCTCACCACTATCTCAGATCAACAGATCCAGAACTAAACTTAGTTTCCTCCCTCCAACACCTGTACCATCTGCTCCATTCCATCTCTGTAGTACCACCTTCCACCATATGAGGAATGTGGGCACCATCTTTGGCCCTTCGCTTTCCTTTATTTCCCAGAAACCATCCCTCATTTTACCTCCTGAATATCTGCTGAATGTGTCCTCTCTGCCCCCTGCCACAATCCTGTTTCCATCATCATTGCTGACCTATTTTACTGAGGGAACCTCCCCGGTTTCACTAGATTCAGTCTTACCTCTGACCAATGTCTGCTTCACGTTGTAACCAGGATGATCCCCCTAAACTGTCAATCTGGGCACATCAGTTTTCTTCTTAAAACCTGTTAATGAAGCCGGGCTCGGTGGCTCAGCCTGTAATCCCGTGCCTTTGGGAGGCTGAGGTGAGTGGATTGCCTGAGCCCACGGGTTCGAGACCCGCCTGGGCAGTGAGACTTCATCTCTACAATAAATCAAAAAATCAGCTGGACGTGGTAGTGCATGCCTGTAATTCTGGCTACTTGGAAGCCTGAGGCAGAAGAATCGCCGGAGCCCAGCAGGTTGAGGCTGCAGAGCGGCCACTGCACTCCAGTCTGGGCGACAGAGTGAGACTCCAACTCAAACAAACAAACAACAACAACAACAAACCTGTTAATGGCTCCATGTGGGCCTTAGGATGAGATCCAGATTCCCTAAATAGCTTAAAAGGGCCTTAGTGTCCTAACCTTTCTCTACCTGGCTCCTTGCACCTCTTTTCTTGCCACTCCTCCGTGGCATGCTGTTTCCAGCTATCCTGAATGACTTTCATTTTCCTAATCAGTCATATTCTAGCACTCACAGGCTTTGACATGCTTTTTTCTTTGCCCAGAGTCTACTCGCTATTTTTGCCTGGCTACTTTTTATTTTTCCCCTAGATCTCAGCTTCAGTGTTACATCCTATAAAAAGCTTTCTCTAATTTCCTCCAAACTAGATTAGGTGCCCCAATTATGTGCCTCCTTTATGTAGTATGTAGGGTCATATTGCATCATAGTTGTCTGTTGAATTGTCTGTCTATGCTTCTAAACATTATACTTCACAAGGACTGGGATTGTGGGCTTATTCACCAGCATGTCTCAGACACCGAACGTGGTGCCTGGCATGTTACTTATCAAGAAATGCATCTTTTATTATACCACCAATATTTACCAAGAGCTGTTCTTCTTTGCCACTTGATCCTATGCTTCTTCAGGGCAAGACCAAATCCTGTTCATCGTGCCATTCCCAACACTTTGTGTTAAGTGAGTTTGTTATCTGTTTTCAGTATTGCACCTGAACTTTAAAAACACCATATTAACATATGTTGAGAAAGTTATATTAGATGAGACTATGCGATTAACTTAATAAATGTGCTATAAGGTATAGAATTGAATGAATATTTGCCCACTCAGTATTGTCTGAGGTTAAGAAGAAAAAGCATTAAAAGATTTGCTTAGGATGAGGCTGGCATGGTTCTGAATTCTACCACCTAGTAACACTGTACTCTCAGGCAAGTAGTCACTTTCCTTCTCTGAGCCTTGTCTTCCTCATCTGTGAAATGCAAGCATGCTACAGAGACTAAAGGTTTGTGAAAAGGACTGCCATAGTAAAAAAATTTTAAGTTTTTTTCTTCTATTATGGCAATGCTGGCGTTACTGAAACATTTTTGGAGTTTCTTTGTTGAAATAGTTTTCAGAGCTTGTGATAGCTCATCAGAATATTTCAATGGGAGAAATCTTTTTTCTTTGAGGAGGGGTTGATTTTTAGGAACTGTATGTTCAGAGAGCAAGACCAAGGTAGTTAATAACATTTTTGATATTAAATAAAGTTAAGTATGATTATAATGAGATTTTCTTTTGTAATATCTAAATTGGTACATATTCTGGCTTTCTTACAGGTAGTATTGAGAGCGTATTCCCTTTGGCATATTAAATTCAAGGAATTAATTACCCCCAAATCTTTAGATTTTGAATAGCACTCTTATACATCAAGCAGTATTAATAAGCTCAAGAGAGCTGAGGTCTTTAATAATGTACTTAGTCACAAGTTGACCATCAACATTTTACTTCTAACAACAAATAATTTAGGAAAAAAATGATCCAGGTGCTACCCCATGTTCTTGTACATATTTGGGGCTAATCTCTTTTCAGCTAGGTTCTTTGAAATCAGTGTGGCTGAAATGTGGCAAGTGTGATGCTCTTTACTAATGACCCAGTGGATCCTGTTGCCTTTCAGAGGTCTGTCCTTTGTGGCAGAGGAGGAGCCCGGAAGGAAAAATTATAGGAAATGGACAAGGGTGTAGAGTCAGGTTTGAAGCTTTTACAGATGCACAGAGAGTTTGTGCAGAGAAGTCTACAGAATGAGTTTGTAAAAGAGATTAGAGGCACAAGGCAGTTAGTCTACTGGAGAAAACCATTAAAGGCAGTGGTGGGGGAGCACAGTCATGTGAGGCTGGAGTCCCGTACCCAGGGCCCTGTACAAGCTGCAGTCCAGGGGGAGAGTGTGAGGTAGTGCTCAGGTTACTACGAGGAACCTTATTTGACTGTGATCCAGAAGTTACTGTGGGTTCAGTATCTTCATTGTACATGAATTCATAAATGTGAAGCATCAAGTAAACTGTAAAGGATTATTGGCATGTTAATTATTTTTAAAACATTTTACTAGTTTGTACCCTGAATTTACCTCATCTTATATATCTATTTTATTGCTGATGTTAGAATGACTCATGGAGAGCATTTACTGGGGAGGGATGCAGGGAGAAAAAGACAAAATGTGAATATTTGTGAATCTTGAGGAGGGGAGAGAAGGGTGTGCCACTCACTTTGCCACCTGGGCAGTAAGGAGCAGAGTCACTCAAGGAACAAGATCTGGGCCTGGCTGTAAAGGCTACCTGTGAGCTGGGTTTCATGCGGGATCATCTCCTGAATATCTGTGTTATTGTACAACATGAGCTTTTGAGGGATGGACTGGTGTCTTATAATTTTAATAAAACATCTGTCTTAGGTTTCAGATTGCAACATTGATACTTCCCTTTAGATAGTGTTTTGTTATTGAAGTTGACTGCTCTGTGAAATTTAAGGGTTGTTCTGCAGCCTGGCTATGGAAGAAAGTCACTGAGAAGCCTTTAATGTAACTATGGCAAAAACTAAAAGATTGTTTATTTTTATTTGCTTTTTGACTTAAATGTCAAAATCTGATTTGAATTGATGTGAAATTCAAAAACTCAGCTTCTTCAATGTTATTAAAAAATGTCTAGACAGAGAATATAGGTAAAATAACCTTTTTTTCCCTCTAATTCTCTCCTATAAATTGGTTATTGTTCACCTATTTTGAGCATTGGTTTTCTTAAAACTATTGTTAACCAGGTTGGAGTTATTATCCTAGCAATGGCAACAATGTACATTAGCATGAATACATAGATGAAGATTCTGGAGCCCTGTAGGCAGGTGACGCCATTTAAAGTGTTTTTTGGTATAAACACATTTTAAAGACCTTTATGTTAAATAGCTGATCATATCCTAAATGAAAGCATATCTAAGAATGCTTTCATTTTTGGAAGCCCAAATTTTGTCTCCTGACAAAATTTCCCATTTATGATGAAATTGAATGTCTGTCTGACAGTGATATAAATAATAAGTGATTTAGGTAAAACAGTAGCAGAAACAACTAAATAATAAATTTACTGCTGGCAAATGACCTGAGTAATTTCCACTGAATAAGAAACATGCAGGGTATGTATATTAGTTTTCTGTTGTTGCCTTAGCAAAGTATCACAAACTTAGTGGTTCAACATGCCACACATTTTTTATCTTGAGTTCTGTGCATCAGAAGAAGTCCAACACAAGTCTCACTGGTTTAAGATAAACATTGGCAAGGACTGCGTTCCTTCTGTGGGATTTTCCTTCTGGGAAAATCCATTTTCTTGCCCTTCCAGCTTCTAAAGGCTACCACATTCCTTGACTCAGCCTTCTTCCTTATTCAAATCCAGCAAGGTTGCATTTTTCTGACCATTCTTTCATAGTTGCATCTACCCCTGGTCACAACTGGGAAAGTTTCTCTGCTTTAGGACCCTTGTGATTAGATTGGGTCCATTGGATAATCCAGGATAATCTCCCCATCTCTAGGTCCTAAATGTAATCACTTCTTAAAATTCTTTTGCCATGTAAAGTAGTATATACTCAAGTTCTGGGAATTAGGATGTAGAAATTTGGGGGGTAAGGAACATTATTCTGCTTATTTAATATGGAAATACTTAACACAAAATTTCATTCAGAGAATGTATCTTTCAAATGTGCTCATGATTTATCAGGTTTTTATGAAATTTTCTTTTGGGTGTATATAGAGAAGAGGTGCATATGTTAAAAATAAACAAACCCCACAAATTTTGTTTAAATCTTAAGCTACTGTTAAAGCTAATATTCACTCTCTTTTGTTTACTTTGATAGTGATAACCTGCTAAGGAGAGCAGCCTGTCAAGAAGCTCAGGTAATACCATTTAATGTGATAAAATTAAAACCTACCTATCTTCATTGTGCAGAAAATGCAAGCTATTCCAGGAGACTTGCATCAGTGCAGTGTCTTGCATCAGTGCAGTTGGCTATTTTTTTTTTTTTTTTAACACTATCAGGGGATGAATCAGGCTGAGAGCCAACTCTGAGTAGAACTTGAGGAAGTTAACCATCTGGTGAAGAACAGTTTTAATGCCCACCCCTTTAGACTTGTTTGCTTCTGGATCAGTCCCAAGAACACATAAATGGACGAGCTGAAGCTCTGGGAATTTGTTTGTGTCTGCAGTTGTCTTTGAAGATCTAGCTAAGCCTTGAATTAGTCCTGATCCAAATAACCCCCAAGGATATTAGTTCAGAATAGGTGTTACCTCTAAAAGTTAGATCTTCTTAAAATTGTTGATTCATATTTTTAAAGCCCATCTCCACACACAACTGATTCCTATCATGTGCACTGTTATCCAAATTCTGTGAGATTTTACTTAAATATTCATTTATCTGGCTGTATTGATTATAGCTGAATTGTAAATCCTTTCAAATTTAAGATCATGTTTTTGTCCCTCATTTGTACATTATTCCTTGAAGATGAAATTCCATGACTGAGTTCCTTTTTGTTATATATCGTTTGAGCTTATAATGTCAGCAATACCAAAATAGAAACATGAAAGTCAAAAATGACAAAAGTATAAAGCATTTAGTAGGAGAAGTAGGTGGCAAACCTCACTTTTGTTTCTGAAATGTTTTCATGGATGACAGTGACAATAGATACTAGTAATCAATTCCTGTCTTTAGTGTTTGTTATCTAGCAGTTCTTAATCTATGTTTTAATAATTTGATTTTTTTGTTTAAGTGTATTATCTCATCTAGTTCTAAGTTGCTTTGGAAATCAATTCAAATAAACTTTAATATTGGTTCCCTGCTCCAAGCCAACTGTTAGCAACTAGAAAGTTCTCTTGGGGGGGAACCCTTTCTTTCTGCCTTTAAGAAAGAGTAGACCTGTGTGATTGTAGGATCTTCCCTTTCTTGTTTGAGGTAAATGCCTCTATCTCTATTTTTAATTCCATTCCTCTTTCTTCTTCATGGACTGTATTCCTTTAGTTATTGTCTCCATCTTATGTGTTTACTTCTTCCTACTGTTCGAATTTTTTACTTCCCCTGCATGTTTGGGTTTTTCCATCTGAGGAACACAAGTGGACTCACCCTTGAGTCTCTGCTAATTACTTTTCTTGTCTTCTTCCCTTTACAGTCTAAATTCGTCAAAGAATATGATTTTTAAAATTCTCATATAAACTCAACTCATTGTAGTCTCATATAAACTCCTTAACCCAATGTGATTCTGAGACTTGAGTAGCAAGTAGGTAAGAATTCGAGAGACTAAGAAACCAGGGCATGAAAGAATAATCTAGGACCATAGGTCTGGGATCTGGTAGGCCAGAGAAATATTTGCATAACTTTTTTTCTCCCTCCTGTCTTTACTTTGTACTTTCATAACAGAATTCTGCCTTCTTGGCCCAGACCTTCTCACCACCCAAACTCCAATTTTCACCCTTTTTGGTGCTCTCCTATTCCCATTCTTTCTGCTCACCCTCTTCTCCAGTCCAAATATAGTAGCAATGGCTCCCATTCTTTGCTCATTAGGACTCCTCACATCTAGTCCTCTGCCTCTTCTGTCTCATCCTTTTACTGCTCTTTAGAGCTGAGACACTCAAAGTTTGGCCTTTGGAGTTAAATAGATATAAATTCCAGTCTTATACTTTATCAACTCTGTGACTTTGAGTAACTTAATCTTCCTGAATCTGGGCTTTCTAATCTGAAAAAACTAAATTATTTAATACTTCCTTGGTTTCTGAGAACTAAGATTAATACTTGTAAAAGTGACAGATATGTTTAAAATTGGCTTAGTATATACTAGTTACCTTTCTTTTCCTCTGTCCGTTGCTATTATTTCATCTTCATATAGGGTCACAAAGAAGAGAAGGTAAATAGAGTATTAGGTTTACTTTTTATATGTAAAGATTTGAAGATTAACTGGTAATTCAAAGCTTCTCGTGAATAAGTTTTAGTGGTAAGTTGAAGGAGAAAAGAATTGTACTCTCAAAACTAAAGATAAGTGAATTAAACTTCTCTTCTGATAGCACTTCTAGTTATATAGTTGTAGTAAACCGAGCCATATCTTGTAGAGAAAAGAAACATTACTTACCTCTAGTAGATGAAGTAGAGTTTTTTAATTCCTATACAAAATTGAATTGTCATTAAATAACACTATGCTTTTGTTGTCATGTCTTTTTCATTAATGTGAGATCATGAAAGGACATATGTTATCCCCAGAGTAGGTAAAATTTTTAGGAGTGAAAGACTGTATGTGACATTTACCGAATAAATGGACTTTTACTGAAAACTTTGCTTTTTTCCTTTTTAGGTATTTGGCAATCAACTCATTCCTCCCAATGCACAAGTGAAGAGGGCAACTGTTTTTCTCAATCCTGCAGCTTGCAAAGGGTAATTCAGTTTGTGATTTGTTATGTATTTGGGTTTTTTTTTTTTTGAGTTGGAGTTGGAGTCTCACCCTTGTCACCCAGACTGGAGTGCAGTGGCACACTTATGGCCACTGCAGCCTCGAACTTCTGGGCTTAGACAATCCTTCCGCTTCAGCCTTCCCAGTAGCTAGAACTATAGTTGTATGCCACCATGCTCGGCTAGCTTTTGTGATTTATTGTAGAGATGAGGTCTCACCAAGTTGTCCAGGCTGGTCTTGAGCCCCCAGGCTCAGGCAGTCCTCTCACCTTGGCCTCCCAAATTGCTGGGATTACAGGCTGAGCCACCGTGCCTGGCTTGTATTCAGTTTTTCTAAGGAGAAAAAAAATCACAGAATACTAGGCAGCTAGTTAGATTGTGTGGAATTGGAAGAACTAGGTTTAGTACTCTTTTGGCAATAAGATTCATTTGTAATGTAGAAATAACAGTTAATGAGAAATAACTATAAAGCTAATTGATGCTTGGCAAACTTGTCTAATTGAAGTTTGATAATCATTCCAGAATTAACACATGTAAAGAAGTCTTATCTCCTTGGAAATAGTCCCTTGGGAATGCCTGCCTAGCAGCTGGGACATAAACTTGTTAGGCAGTCTTTGTCGAGAAGATGTTCAGTGATGGCCAAGAGCACTGTGGGCTTGGGAGGTCAGAAATTTTTGTTTGTTTGTTTCTTCCAAAAGATATGAACCTTGAGCTAGGTCTTGGAGGCAGCAGGCATGAGGAGAGCACTGACTCTTTCCCACTGAGGAAATGGCCCAAGAAACAGGGGTCTAGAGATAGGAGCGATCTGGTTATGTTCTTATTATAACACAGCACTGTCTAGAATCGGTCTGGCTGGCCTGAAAAAGTCATATGAAAGAATTATAGGAATCAGTGTGTGAAGAATAGTTGGGACTTGGATATATAATGATGTGCTCATGGCAGTTGATTGATTATAACAAATGTACCACACTGAAAGTGGGGGAGGCGCTATGGGGGATGGGGGAGGAGTGTGTGGGAACTCAAAGTCTATTAATGCAAAAAGATATCATAGGCAAAAAATTTTTTTAGAATCTCAGTTAGTTGCAACTCTCCATTCATTTGGAAACGTGAATACAAAGGCTTTGATAGCTTTAGAAGCAATTCTTTAAAATTTATTTTCAGAAAGTAGAATTACAGGGTTGAGGGTAAAAAATAACACTTTTTATTGTCCCTAATGTCCAGAACCATTCTTTTTGGCTTTTCTGAGGATCAGATAATTAGTAAATATGTATTAGATTGGATTCTATAAGATCTGATTCAAATAACATTAAGATAATAAGAACAACTACAACAAAGGGAATAGGACCAGATTGTAAGTGGTAAGTTTAATATTGTCTGGAGTAAAACACAAGGACTCTGAAGTCAGTTTCTCTAGACATTTCTTGGGAGCCTTCACAGATAGAAGGACAAATCATACCTTGATTTCTTTTTAATTCAGTTTGTCTAAGCTGGCTAATTATCTGGTCTACCTGAATCATATCTCCCAGGCTTTATTAGAGTTGCTTTCCTTCCCCATAACATATCAGTCATGATGCCTATTGATCACTCTTGTTTAATACCAATGCTAAATAATACCAACAAATAAACAAGTCCTAACAGAACACACTCAAGATACCCAGGATAACTAAATGGTTAGTGGTGGCCTGTGGTGGAAGATAGCATGGAACTCAGCATGGGTCTGGGAGTTTGAGGAACCTGGTCTGTAGGCTGTTTTGCTGCTTACTAGCTCTGTGATACTGGGGGAGTTACTTCTTAAATCCTGTCTATTCTGTCTGTAAAATCAGAAAAGTAATAGCACATACCTTAAAAATCACCATGTAGAATAGATGCCTTTAGTATGAAATGAGATAATGCCTATGAAGTGGTAAGCATTATTTCCATGTCGTAGTAAGCACTCAGTGTAAGAAATGCAGATGGCTGTTGCTGTTACTATTGACTGCAGGCTAGGTGCAGAACATTCTTCACTCAGCCTCCCACCCTTCCCATAAGCTCTTGTACCTCTCCTGCAGCCTACTTCAATGTAATTATTATGTTCTATTTTTTAAGATCTAATAAATTAGTAACTTGCTAATTTCTGATGAAATTAATGGCAGTTTGTTTAAGCTAAAATCAGTTATTTTGAGTTCCTGTTTCTAAGAGTTATTTACATTTTAAGAAATTAATAAACTTTATTTTTTCAGAAGAATTTTTGGTTCTTTTTGCATGTAAATATATTTGCATTTTAAAAGGCCGAATCTTGTTTAAAACATTAATGCCTTTATCTAAAGGTAGGCTAAAATACTGTTACTGAAGGAAAGCTTTTTCTAAAGGCATTGTCTCCTTTAAACAAGGTGAGTCTCTGCGTGCTTCCAGGAAACTGTGAAACTCTCCAGCATCATTTTTTTTAAAGCCTTCACTATTTAATTGCACTATTTTTTGTCATCATGGCTCTGCCCTGACACATAATTTATAATTTATCATGTAGCTATTTCATTATGTACTACTGGCTTAAAACTACATAAGAGCTTTAAGAAATAAGATAACTGTGTGTTTAGCATTAATAAATAATACATTATTTTTTGTGTGTGCCTGAGTCTGGAAATTGCTATAAGTACATAAAGTTTTTATTTAGCCCTAGTTCTATCTCACCCTTAATTATATAATAAATAATGTATTTCTTACTGGTAACACTTGGTTTTTAATCTTTTATATAGAATATTAGAAGAGAAAAAAAGGCTTCATCTTCATTTAGAGATTTTTTTTGAACCCATGACATTATATATAGATGTGAATAAAGACCCAAATGTTCAAATATTCTTTCAAATGTTCAATTCTTATTTCTTGAACTAACTCAGAGGAGTTTACAGATTTGTTGTGATTGATGTGGCAGACTGAGACTTCTCCAGAGTTTTGCTTTTAGGAAACAGCTCTGATCTACTTTCAACTGATCCTTTTTTAAAAAAAAAATCAATCTAGTAATGAAAACAACCATGGAAGGAGAACTGTTTGCAGTATCACTAGCTCAGCCCTTTATAGTTAGGTACTCAGAAATGGTGAACTGGAAAGAAGTTTTCATTTGCCATTTCATGTTCATTCTGATAATCGTTCAGAGCCGTAGAAAGATAGAATATATTTAATTTGCTTATTACATACTCAGGTAGGCCCTTGGTTTGAACTATTCTTTTGAATGGTTCTTGTGAAAATTTGTCTAAGTTTCTCAATATGTATTTAATTCGCAGTGGGAAATGCTTTGTGCTTCTTTTTAGTTTAAAGAATATTAAATTTGGTCTATGTGTAACTATATATGCTCCTCATTAACTACCTTTGTATTTCTTTCTAGTATAAAATATCCTTAAAGTCAAAGGGTGTACCACTGGTTAAAAAAAAGATGGTCTTTTTTAGAAAGAGTCCTGAGTGAATGTGGATGTAAAAGTTAGATGTTTGACATAGATTGTTTGAAAGCACTAGGTTTTTTTTTTTTCCCCCTTATGTAATAGCTGAAAACATTTGGGTAAAAGAGAGGTTAACTAATTGGTATGTTTTAACATTTATTAAACTTTTAGACTATGCCATTGGAGAGAGGGACTTTTTGCGACTTCTGTACCCCTTGATTCCTAGGTTGTTTTAACATTCTGACCTGAATTGGATAAGAGTTCACTGTCAGATGATGTGCATGATACTTTTGAAATACACAAAGTCTTCTAAGGGCTGTTTAACTATTTCTCTTATTATAAGGCATCACAATTTTGTCATTTACTTTTCCTCAGAATTTGTATGTCTACATTTCAGGCAGGCTTTATTCATTCACTTATTACATCAGATACTAGTACCTTCATTCATTCACTTATTACATCAGATACTAGTACCTTCATTCATTCACTTATTTCATCAGATACTCAGTACCTTATTCATTCACTTATTTCATCAGATACTTAGTACCTACATATCCCAGATGCCAGGGAATTGAAGGATTAATAAGATTTGCTGTTTTTGCAAAGCTTCTAGTATAGTTCTGAAGATAGTCTTGGCAATCTGTAATTATCATAGAGTTTGAAAGTTGCTAGCAGAAATGTGTATAAAACGCTAGGGGAACACAGAGAAGGACATGACTATGCCTAGGAGTTTCAGACAAACTTCTCGTTAATTATCCTGTAGTTACATTAGATAATTTCAAGCTTTTCCTTTTGGTAGCAGAAGTTCTGCCTTCATGGAAAAGAATTTTGCTCTGTCTCTAGGGATTTCATTAGGTTTAAAAGTCAAGAAACTAAGGTACCCCTAGTGTTTGAAATTATTAAAAATTATGTGCTAGGTAGGATGGCTCATTCCTATAATTCTGGCACTTTGGAAGGCTGAGGCAGGAGGATCCCTTGGGCCCAGCAGTGAGCCTCACTTTGAGGCTGCAGTGAGTTATGATTGCACCACTGCACTCCAGCCTGGGGCAACAGAGTAGGACCTTGTCTCTGGGAAAAACAAACAAACAAAACATAGAATCTCTCTCCAAAGATTGTGTTCACTGAGTTAAAATTAAACAATATTCTGTTTTGTTCAACTTATTCTTTTGGGTCAGATGAATAGATGAATAATGTGACAATACGTTCATTTTCCTCCTACTGCCACGAGAACAAGTAGTTTTTTGTCTGTTTTGTTAATCCCCAGCTCCTCCACCTGTGTGTACCACACAGCAGATGCTCAATAAATACTTGTTCAGTGAATCAAGCATTGTTGCTAGAGTGGAGCCATATCTAGTACTCATTCTTCCTCTAGAAGAACTAGAGTGTGCGCTGTGAGCATCCCAAATGCATGAGAGCTTATTTCACTAGACAAGGAACAAACTCCTGGGAGGCCTCACAGTGAAAGTTTCTGTTTTTCTATACAATGTCAGAACTCAAACAAAGTAAACTTTTCTTTACTTGAAAACATAAAGGAAACCTATGTTCCGTAGTAGTCTTTTTTTTTTTTTTTTTTTTGAGTTTTTTTTTTGAGAGTTGGAGTCTCACTCTGTCGCCCAGACTGGAGTGCAGTGGCACGCTCCCAGCCACCGCAGCCTCAACCTGCTGGGCTCCAGCGATCCTTCCACCTCAGCCTTCCAAGTAGCCGGAACTACAGGCGCGCACTACCACGCCCGGGTAGTTTTTGACTTATTGTAGAGACGAGGTCTCACCAAATTGCCCGGGCGGGTCTCGAACCTCTGGGTTCAGGCAATCCTCTCGCCTCGGCCTCCCAAAGCGCTGGGAATATAGGCTGAGCCACCGAGCCCGGCCTGTTCCATAGTCTTTTTATTCTGCTCTAAAGAAGATGGTTGGGTTTTTTATTCTTCCTCATACAACTTGTATTTAAACATTTTTATTCTTTCCTTTGTCTATAGCAAAGCCCGGACTCTATTTGAAAAAAATGCTGCCCCGATTTTACATTTATCTGGCATGGATGTGACTATCATTAAGGTGAGAATGACTTTGAAATGTTGATCCAAGTTACTACACCTTATAACAGTTCTCTTATCTTGACTTCTTAGCAAAAGTCCTTGTCATTTAAGGAGGCAAGTACAAAGAAATCAATGTTGTTTTCTATTCTGATAATTCTGATAATTAATAAAAGCAGTTTTGTTTTTATAAAAACATTGTCGATTTTTCATTTGCAGAATAGGATTAGACGGAGACTTGGAGAACTTGATGCCTTTCATCTGAGAGATAGGATGTGGAATTATCTCTCTTGGAAGATAAAAGTGGTTTTTTACATTTTATTTATTTTATTATAAAGATGAAAAGTTGTTTTAACTGTAAAATTTTTTTTTCCCTGAAAATACTTCAAGGTTGTGTAATTAATTTCATTTCTTGGTAGTTCCACAAATGTAAGCATTTTTCTCTCTAGTAAGGAATTATCTCTAATGAGGAATTTTAAGTGGTAGAACTTTAGAATTTATGAAACTTAGGTAAGAAGGGAGACAAAATAAATGTAAAGGATTTGTGCTATTTCAGAAAATGCCTCAAGACTCCACTTTGTTGAATTTTAAGTGAGGTATGTGTGGTTATGTACATAGTTGTGTGTATTCAGTGAAGATCATTCTTACTGTGATTATAAGTCTGTTGATAATCTATCTCTAATGTTACATACTTTCTAGGGATAGGGAAAGAAAACTAACTTATATTTGAGTACCTGTAAGGTGCCAGCCTGCCTAGATAAGAGAGACCTTAGAATGGTTATGTAAGACTGATATTATTTGTTGCTTGAATGACCGACGAAACCCAGAGTTTTCCTTGAGGGAAGATTTTCTTTGTATATCGAATTTCTTTAATGGTTCTAGAAGTATTCAAGTTCCATTTCTTCTTGACTTAATTTTGGTAGGTAAACTTTTCAAGAAATTTGCTTCATCTAAGTTTTCAAATTAATTGGCATCAAGTTATTCAGAATATCCTTTTTTTTACTTTTAAATTTCTGTAACATTTGTAATGTTCCATTTTTATTCTTAATACTGTTTATTTGTGCTTTTTCTATTTTTTTCCCTCAGTAGTCTTGTGAGAAGTTTGTTAATTTAATTAGTCCTTGCCAAGAACTGTTTGCTTGCTTATTGATTCTCTCATTTATTTGTTTCATTCATTTCTAGTCTGTTTTTATTGTTTCTTTTATTCTACTTTTTCTTTTTCCCAACTGTGCTTTTTCTGACATTCTAACTTGGATACTTATTTTAATAATTTTCACCTCTTTTTCCTATTGTATGTGTTTATAGCTATAAATTCGAATCTGCTTTAGCTGCAACCTGTAACTTTTGACATGTTATTTTATTATCATTTATTTCTAAATATTTTCTAATTCCCATTATGATTTTTGCTTGAGCTGTGAGTTATTTAGGCATGTTTTTGAATTTCCAAATTTAAAGTTTTTCTAATTATCTTTGTTAATAATTTTGGACTTAATTACATTATGGTCAAAACATGTAGTCTATATAATTTCAATATTTTTAAGTTTATTGAAACTTGTTTTGTGGTTTAGCATGTGGTATTTTCATAAATGTTCTACGTATGCCTACAAATAATATGCATCATTTATTGGGTACTATGTTCTGTATATGTCCATTAAGTCAAGTCTGTTTATTGTATTGTTCAAATCTTCTTTATCCTAACTGATTTTTTTCTTCTGTTTTAACTATAAATTATTGAGAGGTTTTAGAAGTTTCCCACTATTATTATAGATTTGTCTATTTCTTTACATCATTTTGTCCATTTTTGCTTTTTGTAGTTAGAGACTGATGATGCAGTAAAGTTTCAAATTATTTAACTTTCCTTGCATTTTGACCCTGTCACAGAAAGACTGTCTTTAGCACTAATACTGCCTTTTGCAGTAGTCTATCTTACCTCATGTTATTGGTAACTATACTAGCTTATATATGTTCATTTTTGCCTAGTATAGTTTTTACATCCCTTTACTTTCAGCCCTTTTGTATCTGTCTTTATAGTTTAGATGTGTCATTGATACTCACATGAAAACAGAGTATTTTTTTTTAAATCAATATTTTTTATTATGATTTTGTGGGGTACAGTTAAGGGTTAGGTGTACAATTACATTTCATTCAGGCACCCTGTTGATACGAGGTGTTTCCCCATCCCCAGACAGATATTTGTGACTGTTAATCCCATCCCCCTCCCCCCCATAGTTTCCCAGTACTGTCAGTCATTTTCTTATAGTATTACATTGGATGGAAAACAGAATATTTTAAAGACCTAATTTTTTTCATATTTTGACTGGACCATTTAATTCATAAACAGTTATCATAATTGTTGATATCATTAGATTTATTTTCTATACAATGTCAGAACTCAGATACTAATTATCTATTGCTATGTAACAAACTGGAGCAACAGTTTTTCTGCTTATGATTCTTTTGGTCAGTAGTCTTGCCTGGGCTCGTTGGTGGCATGACAGAGGAAGGATGGTCTATGATTGCCTTGCTCACATGTCTTTGGATTGATGGTGGCTGTCATCTGGCTCACGTGGTCTCTACCAGGCATCTTAGTGTGGTTGCTGTGTTTCCTGAAGGAAATTACAGATATTATCTTATTTTACCCTAAATACTTCCATGTTTTTTAAAAAAAAACAACAAATAAGGATACTTTTAAATGTATCAAGAGTGCCATTTTCATACCTAGCAAAAATAACAATTCTCTAACACAATTTCATGTTACCTAGCTCATGTTCAAATGTCCTGTGATTCATGTATTTGTAATTTTGTCCTTTGTAAGATGCTTAATCAATTATATGCAAGTGCTCATATGTTATGTACATTATATCCACAGAAAATAGAAACTTAAAAGGATGGGATTAAAAAATTGTTAGAAATAGGAATACTAATGTTTTCTTCTTATACCTCCATAGAAACTACTGCTCTTTTACAGGGTTTATTTCTTTTCTATAAACTTTTATTTTGAAATAATTTCAGACTTGTAAAAGTAATAGAAATTCCCATATCCACTTCACTCCCCAAATTACTAACATTTTACTATTTTTACATATACTATACTAACATTTTACTATGTTTACATATACTCTCCCTTTACATGTATATGTATGTGTATGAATGTATACAAATACATATTACTATTATTTTTCAGACATGTTTGAATGTAATTTGCAGAAATAATATTCCTGTACCTCTAAATGTTCCTAAAAACAAGGACATTCTTTTATATACCTGCAGAACAATTTCAAAATCAAGAAATGGATATTGACACAATACTATTATCCAATTTGTAGAATTATTTAAATGAAGTTAATTGTTCCACTAATGTCATTTATAGCAAAAGAAAAAAACTTTTTCTTGTTCCACATCCAATTCAGGATCACATATTATATTTAGTTGTCATATCTCTTTAGGCAGCTTTAATCTAAAAATGTTCCTTAATTATCTTCTTTTTCTTGCATGGCTGTCACATTTTTGAAGACTTCAGGTTTTTTTCCTTTTTAATGTTCTTCAATTTGAGTTCATCTGCTGTTTTGTCATGATTAGATTCAAGTTTTGTAATTTAGTAAAGATACCACAGAAAGAATGTTGTGTCATTCTCATTGCATAATGCATATAAGAAAGTCCTGGAGCTCTTTAATTTAAATTTTTAGTTTGAGGTTTTCAGAGTATGCAGGTAGCATGAATTTGGATTATTTACTTGTGTGAGAAATGTGGATTCACAGGAATGATTTTTTTCCCCCTTCATTTAGCACCAAATTTCAGAACAGGTAATTGTCCTTGCAGTCCCTTAGGGAAAGGATAGGAGCAAATCAACTTTGTTTTGTGGTTTTTTTGGTCCTGGCTTATGGTGTGGTGTGGTTCTCCTATCAATCTCACTAACCATGATCAGGTCCTGGGATTTTCTTCTGCTTTTTCTAGAACTTGGTTAACTTTAAAAACCAATGTTCAGGTCCATCTGCTCTACAGGGTGCCCTCAGAGTATTTACTATGTAGGTGCTAGTTTGGGGTTTAGCATTCCTTACTTTATTCTAGTTATTGATACATGAAATATGTATTTTTAAAATATTTTATTATTTTACTCTATAGCTTTAATTTTCAATTCTGCTGGAAATGGAATTGTAGCACTTCTATAGGTGATTTTATTTAAATCACATAAAGCCCAATAAGGTTGGGTGTTATCTTTATTTTATGCATGAGGAAATGAGGATGTAAACATCTAGAAACCTGCTTAGTTCCACAATTAATAGTGACAGAGCTGATCCAATCTCACGTCTGTCAATCCTAAGTCATATGTTTTCTACCTCAGGCTCTGCCTCCCCCTTGTCATGAAACCTCCAAGACAGCTTGTTTCATCTTAGGATAGCACTGTTAAGGTACTCTTCCTTATTTTGAGAAGAAATCTGTTTCTCAGGAATTTTTACACAGAGGTCAGTGGTTCTTAACTCTGGCTGAATATTAAATTACCTGGAGATTTAAAAGTACAACCTATGCCCAGGTCTTACTCCTTAGATGTAAATGATATAGAGTGGAATCTGTGTGTCTGTATTTACAACATTCATTCATTCACTCCAAGGTGATGATAATGTATAGTTGGATTGAGAATCATTGGTTTAGGGGATTAGTTCTATCATAAGGGTTCATGTGAAACAAGGCTACGTTTTCTTCTGCAGAATAGTTTTTGAAATAATGAAGAATCTTATCATGATCCTTCCTTAAGCTTTCTGTGGTTTAGACATTCCCACTTTCTTCACATTGGACATGTTTTAAAATCTGTCACCTTCCTGATTGCTCTCTTAGGTGTTCTTCAGTTTTCTTTTTTCTTGAAGTGTAGTGCCCAGAAATGAGGGGTGGTCTATCTAGCAAGGAGTAAAGCAGGGCCACCAAGTCTCTCATTCCACATGCTATTATTTTAAGCAGCCCAGGATCACACTCTTTTGCTGTTGAAATAGCATGCTTTTGAATCATATTGAACTCATTGTCCCCCAAACCCCAATATCTAAGCTTTGGAAATGAGGCCACTTTTTAAAAAGTTAGTAGACTTAATTTTTTTTAGAGCAGTTTTCGGTTTGAGGGAATATTCAACAGAAAGTGTAGAGTACCTGTATCTCCCTGCCAAGTGTCCCCTATTATTAACATCTTGCATTAGTGTGGTACATTTGCTATAGTTGATGAGTGAGTATTGATGTATTATTATTAACTAAAGTCCATAGTTTGCATCTGGATTCATTCTTTGTGTTGTATACAGTTCTGTGGGTTTTGACAAATGTATAATGCATTATATTCACCATTACAGTATTATACAGACTAATTTCACCATTCTAAAAATCCTATGTCTCTACTTATTCATCCTGCCCCCCCACCACTACTGTTCTTTTTACTGTCTCTATACTTTTGCCATTTCAAAAATGTCATATTTAATTGGACTCATGCAATATGTAGCTTTTTCATATTGGCTTCTTTCATTAATATGCATTTTAGGTCTCTCCATTGTCTTTTTCATGGTTTGGTAGCCCGTTTCTTCTTAGTGTCGAAGAGTATTCTATTGTCTGATATACTGCAGTTTATGGTAAGAGCATGTATGGTTTTGTAAGAAACTGCCAAGCAGTCTTTTGAATTGGCCACACCATTTTGCATTCTCACTACTAGTAAATGAGAACTCTTGTTCCACATTGTTGTCAGCATTTGCTTTTTTCTGTTTTTTTGGATTTAGCCATCCAAACAGATGTGTAGTATGCTGTCTTTTTGTTTTAATTTGAAGTTTCCTAATGACTTATAATGTTGAGTATATTTCCATATGCGTATTTTGCACCTATAGATCTTTGGTGAGGTGTCTGTTCTGATCTTTGACCTTTTCATTGAGTTGTTTGTTATTGTTGAGTTTTAAGAGTTCTTTGTATATTGTAGATACAAGTCTTTTGAGAGAGATACATATATTTTTTGAAAATATTTTATCTCAGTCTGTGACTTGTCTTTTCATTTTCTTAATAGTATCTTTTGCAGGGTAGAAATTTTAAATTTTGTTGAAGTCCTGCTTATCAATTTTTTTTAATGGATCTTTCTTTTGGTAATGTACCCAAAAATTCATTGCCAAACTCAAGATCACTCAGATTCTCTCCTATGTTATCTTCTGTAAGTCTTATAGTTTTGCATTTTGCCTTTATGTTTATGATCCATTTTGAGTTAGTTTTTGTGAAAGGTGTAAGGTCTTTTTTTTTTTTATCATTAAGCTATTTTTTATCCTTCTTCTTTTAGTGCATTCGGTATTTTCTTTTCAATATCAGAGTCTCAAATATATTATCTCTATTAATGTAATATTTTCAATTATGATCTGCTAGATCTGTCAAAATCTCTTTGAATTTTGGTTCTTTCATTCATGTAGGAAATTAGTAAGTCATGTAGATGCTTGAAAAAAGGGAATCTAAGCCAAAGATATTGCATTTCCAAAGACCTGAGTCAGGAGTGTACTTGGTATGTTTGAGAACTAGCAAGGAGGCAGTGTGGTTGGAGTGGAATGAACAAAGAGAGAATGTGAGAGGATGAGATTGGGGAAGTAAGAAGTAAGGAAGTAAGAATGGTTGACTTTGTGTCATTTATGTATCTAGAAGGGTCCCTTTCATCTCCATTCTTGATAGAGTAATGTATAGGACAGGGTCCCCAACCCCCAGGTCACAGACTGGTACCCATACGTGACCTGTTAGGAATTGGGCCGCTCAGCAGGAGGTGAGTAGCAGGCAAGCGAGTGAAGCTTCATCTGTATTTACAGCTGCTCCCCATTGCTTGCATTATTGTCTTAGTTCAGATCAGTACTGACCAAATTGGCACTGAAAATTTTGCTTCCATTTCCAACATCCTATCTTTGTGAAGCAGAGCTTTCTGCAGTGATAGCAACCAAAACAAGTTTACAGAGTAGACTAGATATAAGTAACACACTTTGGGTGTCACTGTTTCTTATCACTCCCAGATAGGTCTGTCTAGTAGCAGGAAGACAAATTTAGGGCTCTCAATGATTTTGCATTATGGTGAGTTGTATAATTATTTCATTATGTATTACAATGTAATAATAATATAAATGAGTTACACAATCAATGTAATGCACTTGAATCTTCCCAAAACCATCTCCTCTCCCTGTCCGTGGAAAAATTGTCTTCCATGAATTAAACTGGTCCCTGATGCCAAAAAAGTTGGGGACTGCTGGTATAAGGAGAGGCTGAAGGGAGAGCACTAATGAAATGTCCCCAGGAATCTTCCGGCAACTTGGCATCATTTTGTAGAACATCTCACTTTGGACATAGACATTCACTTGATAATTCATCCATTCAATTGTATTTTAGCATATTGTTTCCACATTGCTTCACCTTGTCCACAGGGATATTATTAAATAACTTGCCAGGAGTCTTGTTGAAGACCAGATACTATGCATCTGTCTGATTTCCAAGGTCTACTGATATAGGGATCTGTATCAATAGAAGGAAATGAAGGAAGTCTGAAATGACTTGGTCTTAGTGAGAACCCAGGCTGACTCCTATGCTTACCTATTTCTGAGTGTTCACAAACCATCCTTTTAATTAGGATGGACATATATTCTCTTTTTAAAAAATTAAATATTTCCCAATGTGCAACTATAACGCCAGTTATTTTATTTTTAGAATAAGAGTAGAGCATTATAACATTAGATAGTGGTATTTAAGGGAGACTTCCTTTTTTCTCTGTTAACTGAATTAATGTCACATATTAGGATTTATTGACTCAGGTGCTGGGGTCTTTTCCCATACCAACTGAGTGGTCAGCAATTCAATTCAATTTTAACACCAACTCCTGGGGTTAGTGTAGACTCCATGGTTTAGGGACTCAAAACTGCCCTCACCTCAGGCACCAGTCCCAAGTCCCAGGGGAATTAGTCACCTGTTCTGATCAACCAGCTATAAATTGAGGCTTCTCACAGCTCCCTCCTCAGGTGTGATAATTTGCTAGAATGACTCAAACTCAAGAAAACAACAATAAACTGTCTTTTGTTTGCTGGTTTATTATAAAGAATACAACTCAGGAACAGTCAAATAGAAAGATGCACAGGACAAGGTACGAAGGCAGAGGGGCTGGCACCCTTTGACACCTCAGTGTGTTCACTTCCAACCTGGAAGCTTCCCAAACTCTATTGCCTTGGGAGTTTTATGGAAGCTCTGTTAAGTCTGCATGGTTGATGAAATCATTGGCCCTTGGTGAGTGAACTCAGTCTCAAGTCCCTCACTTCTCCCTGGAGGTCAAGGGGTGGGGCTAAAAGTTTCAGCCCTCTCATCACCTTGCTGGACTTTCTAGCAACAAGCCACCATCTTGAAGCTATCCAGGGGCCTGCCAAGAGTTACCTCATTAGAGCAAACTCAGGTATAGGTTGAGAGGGGCTTGCCATGAATAACAAAAGACATTTCCCTCACTAAGGAAATTCCAGGGGTTTTAGGAACTCTGCTCCAGAAACCAAGGACAAAGACCAAATATATTTTTTATTGTATCATAGGTTCTTTAGCCCATCTGAAATCCAGATACTTAATTTTTGTCTATGACCAGGCATGGTGGCTCACATCTGTAATCCCAGCACTTTGGGAGACAGAGGTGAGAGGATTTCCTGATCCCAGGGCTTTGACACAATCCTGGCAACTTGCTGAGACCTCATTTCTACAATAAAAATAAACAGTAAATACAATAAATTAGTTGGGCATGGTGACACATGCCTGTACTTCCAGCTTCTTGGAAGACTGAGGCAGAAGGATCACCTGAGTCCTGCAGTTTGAGGGTGTGGTGAGCATGAGCATGCCACTGCACTCCATTCTGGGCAACAGAGTGAGACTCCAACCCCTCCCCCCTGCAAATAAAGACTGTCTAGTAGTGTGTCTAGTATAGTGTCAATTGGCGGGAATGTTCCTAATTTAGTATTTGTTGCATTATGTCTATTAAAATTGAGTGCTTGGTTTTAAAGGTGTCCACATCACTGGTGGCTTAAATGGTTTATTTAAGTCTATCTGTGTCTGAGATCAACTGGTATCAATAACAATTGTAAGGCTTAGGTGCTGTTTTGTGGCTACTTTGAATCATACCTGTATTTCTTTATATACAGTCATAGCAAAACAATAGTAACCTCCTTGTATTCAGTACAGCACCAGTTATGAACAGTGACCTTGCTATTTGCTCTACCTACTGCTTTATAACAATATTATAAGGAAGTTCTTATTACTCCCTTCCCCAACATGCATAATTTCACTGATAAGGAAATGAAGATCCAGAGAGTTTAAGACCACTCAGCTAAAACGTAGCAGAGTTGAGACTTAATGGAGGTCTCTTGGGCTCCCAAATCTGCATTCTTTTAATTCCATCTGCTTCTTCCATCTGCATGGACACTTTACTTCCTGCTTTTGAATGAAATCATTAGGGAAGTGATATAATGGAATCTACACTGAGGCCTTTGACTAGCTATCTGTACAACTGAGGCAAATTAATGGGTTAGAATTTTATTTTTAAGTAAGGAGCTGGCTAGATGGTTTCTGAGGTCTCTTGCTATTCAAGTATAATGCTGTAAAAACTATGCATAGCTACTTTGATAGCTGTTTGCTTTTTCATGTCTATCACTTATGTAAAATTTAAGCAGAGAGTCAATATAAAACTTTAAAGAAAATATCCCACTTTTTTTTACCCTTAACCTTGGGATGATAAATTTACCTAAGACTTCCTTTGTATTTCAGACAGATTATGAAGGACAAGCCAAGAAACTCCTAGAATTGATGGAAAGCACAGATGTGATCATTGTTGCTGGAGGACTTGGGACACTGCAGGAGGTATGACTGTTTTTCTCTTTGAAGCCAGTTTGTAGGTGAAAAAAATGTAAATTAGATCTTAAAGGAATAGTATAAAGTGGTTATGATTTAAGGAAATTATTTTCTTGTAATTCATTATTTTAAGATTGTTCCTCTCTGAAATTATTATAGCTTTAAATTTTTCTCATGCACTTTTATTTCATTACTATTTGTGAACACTCTACCCAGCATATAGAAGAATTTTTGTATTATTTGGTTTAAGTCTGATAACATTGAATAAAGCAGGAGACAAAATGGTGGTGGGTAGGATAAGTTTGTTATATTTTGAAAACTCATGAAGTAGCTCTGTTCATAATGGAATATTCATTTCAATTATGAGGAATGTTTCTTATAAATGAACTTGAATAAAGATTCATTTTAAGATAATGCATCTATCCATCCTTAAATCATTTCTATCATACATAATATTATTTCTTAATACTACATTTATAGGAAGAGGTATATGTTCAGATATATGCATCTGCCTTTGTTTTAATATCACACATCCTCAGTGAGATAACACTGTGTACCTATTATAATGGCTAAAATTTCAGTATGCTATTGCAAACTGAACGGTGAGAATGTAAAATGGTATAGCCACTTTGGAATAGTTGGTTGGTTTCTTACAAAATTGAACATACTCTTACCTATGATCTAACAGTCATGCTTCTTAGTATTCACCCAAAGGAGTTGAAACTTATGTCCAGACAAAAGCCTGCATATGAGTGTTGACAGCAGCTTTATTCATTATGGCCAAAACTCAGGAGCAGCCAAGATGTCCTTTAATAGGTGAATGAATAAATAAATAAAGTGAGGTACACCCTGACACTTTATTATTTAGCACTAAAAAGAAATGAACTATCAAGCCACAAAAAGGCATGGAGAAAACTTAGATGCATATTACTAAGTGAAAGAGGCTAATTTGAAAAGAGTACATACTGTAGGATTCCAACCATTTGACATCTGGAAAAGGCAAAACTGTGGAGACAGTGAAAAGATCAGTGGTTGTCAGAGGCTGTGGAAGGGAGGGATGAATAGACAGAATGCAGAGGATTTTTAGGGCATTGAAACTCCTTTGTATGATACTTTAAAGGTCGATACGTGTCATTGTGGAAACACATGGAATGAACCCTAATGTGAACTATGGACTTAAGGTGATGATAATAATGTGTCAGTGTAGGTTCATTGGTTGTAACAAATGAATCACTTTGGTGAAGGATGTTGATAATGGGAGAGGGTATACATGTGTTGGAGAATGGGGCTTATGGGAAATCTCTGTACCTTCTTGTTAATTTTGCTGGAACTAAAACTGCTTTAAAAAAAATAAAGTTTATTAATTACAAAAAAGTACATGCCGTTAATGCTTACTTTGGTCCAATAAGAAAAGTAAGTTTTATGCCCTGCAAGTGCACTTCTTTTTCATGCATCAGACTAGTGTATAGTAAGTCCCCTACATATAAATAAGTCCCGTTCTGAGAGCATCCCTAAGTGCAATTTGTTCGTATGTCCAACAAAGTTAGCCTAGGTACCCAACTCACTCAATCAGTTATATAGTATTGTACTGTAACAGGATTATAATACTTTTCACACAAATAATACATAAAAAACAAACAAAAAATAAAACAACTTTAATCTTACAGTGCAGTACCTTGGAAAGTACAGTAGTACAGTACAGTACAACAGCTGTCATACAGGGACTGGCATCGAGTGAACAGGCAAGAAGAGTTACTGACTGGAGAAGGAAGAGGAGGTGGGAGATGGTAGAACTGAAGGATCATCACCAATAGGAGACAGAGGGCAAGCTGCAATTTCACTCACGCCTGACATTGATGGCACAGGTTCTAGTTCCTTGCTGGATTCAATTCTATCTAACCTCTTAAAAAAACATTTCAGTCATGTTTGGGTAGCATTGTACTATACTAGTGTCCTCTTATACAGTAAAGTACACAAAAGTACAACCACTTTTAGAGGATGCATACACATGACAATATATGCTAGACATGTGAGCTAACAAGTGAAAATTTGCAATATGAAGGTTTGTATGTAGGGGACTTACTGTATTCATTACATATTGGAAACCCTTTAAGAGTACAGTGCAGGTGATCCTGCCCACTACTCAATTATTTGATTCTGTATAGTTTAATTCACATCCATATCTTATTTCTGATTGCCTGTTGTCTCCATTTGGTGGTTTCATCAGCGTTCAGGGATCAGAAGCTAGCAGCAGACAGGGTACTCTCCTATGTTTGACTTAACAATTATGTGAGCCTTAGTAAGCTTCTTTTAAAAAGGCTGTGCTAATGATCTTGTAATTGTTTTTATGGCTTTTTAATGAAGTGTGACAAATATTGATAGCATGCCTACAAAGAATGAAGTAGACTTCTTGACAGCCCCATTTAATTCTGAAGTTCAGTGAGGCAGAAGAGGAAGGAAGGAGATTTGGGTCAGGCTTTATTTTACAAAATGTTTTTAAAGAAAGCTATCAAATTGTGTATTTGGTATAATCAGTCACATAAAAATATACATTGATTAAAAAAATTTGAGGAAAATATATCAAAATGTAAATGTGATTAATATTGGTTATCCAGCATTATAGAATTATGAGAAATCATTTTTCTTTAGATATTTTTCATAGTTTTTGCAAGAATAATATCCTGTCTTCATATTCATCAATAAGAACCATTTATTGAGTGCGTACGTCTGAGTGTAGCAAAGTGGTTTTTTCTTGTACATGTACTTTATTTATTTATTTATTTATTTTTTTCATTTTTTTTTTTGAGTTGGAGTCTCACTCGGTCGCCCAGACTGGAGTGCAGTGGCCGCTCCCGGCCACCGCAGCCTCCACCTGCTGGGCTCTGGCGATCCTTCCATCTCAGCCTTCCGAGTAGCCGAAATTACAGGCATGCGCTACCACGCCCGGCTGATTTTTTGATTTATTGTAGAGATGAGGTCTCGCTGCCCAGGCGGGTCTCGAACCCGCGGGCTCAGGCAATTCACTCACCTCAGCCTCCCAAAGACGTGGGATTACAGGCTGAGCCACCGAGCCCGGCTGTACATATATTTTATAATAATAAACTAGGGTCTTTTGTATAATTGATGTATACATCATATTTATGCCAATTTTATAGAACTTAAAACATATTTTTACTAGTATAATGAGGAGTTTTAAGATTATTTTATCTTAACCCTTATTGTATTAGTGATCCTAGGTCAAAAATAAAATCTAATTTATGTTTCATTATATTGGAGAATACTGTGTGTTTTAAGATCCAGTAAATCTTTTAACAGAGTTTCTAGGAAGAAAATAGGAATAAGAATATAGTCCATGAAAATTATATCAAATTATTTTATGATTAAGGAAATGCATGTTTATAATAATTTTTTTAACATTTATAGGTTGTTACTGGAGTTCTTCGAAGAACAGATGAGGTGAGCTGTAAAAGAAAGATTAATTGCATGTTAACTTTACTTTTCTGTTCCTTTTCTTGCTCTTTATTTTGTTTTTTAAAATGGGCACAAATTGTACTTCTTTGGATTTAAAAAAGTAAATTCTGCTGCCTATGTCATAGAACACTTTTATCAACCCATGGTGGACTTTTCTGCTTTGGTAATCAAGGATATCAATAGCTTTGACCAACAGTTAGTTTAAATATCCAATTTACGTATGGCATCTTTTCTTCAAATAATTCCTTCATGAATAAATTGTGGCATCTTAATATAGTGGGAGTCATACAGCAATTAAAATGAATGAACTAGATCTATAAGTATCCACATCCACTTTTAAATCTCAAAAATATTGAATAAAAAAGGCAGGTTACCAAAGTATGTTATGCATTTCTACAAAGTTTTAAAATTTGAAAAATACTATCTCTTGTTAATGGATACTTAAATATGTAATAAAAGAATAATAATGTGAATGGAAAGGCATCTTACCAGCCTTAGAATAATGATTTCCTCTGGGAAGAGAGAAGAGAATAGGATTAGAAGGAACTTCAATTGTATCTGTATTTTATTTCTTAAAACATCTGAAGCAAAATGGCAGATGTTAACATTTGTTAAATCTGGATTGTGGGCACATGGGTGTTTGAAACAATATCTTATGCATGCTTCTACAATAGCTTAAGATGTTTCATAAATAACAATAAAAAAGAAGATTTATCTTATTCCCTTTGGTGATAGTAAATATTACTCAAAATAGTCTTTAGGAATCTTATACTATCTATTATATTTGTGGCATTTAATTAAATCAACTGCTATGCCATTACCTTCTGTGAATTGAACTTGCTTATTGTCTTTGCCTTATTTGTGTTTGGGATAGTTTGTAAAGCACCTTCGCTTGTCATCGGTCACTGTACAAATGGTAGATATTTTTAGTTGGATTTTATCTGCAACTTTTTAAAATAGTATGGCAACATATTACAGTCTCTGTTGCACTACTGCATTGATCTGGTCTCTTTAAGACCCTCGTTATCTTAACATTTCCTTCAAACAATTGTCATTAATGAGTACTCAAATATTTCTTCCAAATTCTAAGTCATTTTGTTTTCCTTGCCTGCCTTGTTTGAGAAACTGCTCACCTAGCTTTATTTGATTACTGGTCTAGGGATGTGGGAAAGGAGACGGGGAGACAGGTACAGTTGCTTTGTCATAGTGGACACACTTGTGCCTCTCCATTAAGCTGGATTTTCTGACCATAACAATAAAACTTTCCTTTTTTTTCCCCCCCAGGCTACCTTCAGTAAGATTCCCATTGGATTTATCCCACTGGGACAGACCAGTAGTTTGAGTCATGCCCTCTTTGCCGAAAGTGGAAGCAAAGTCCAGTAGGTTGTCAATGTGGTGTACTAGCATTTGTGGGTGAGCAAGCCTGGGAATGAAAATTTACATGTATGATATAATTTTTTTTTTTTTTAGTTTTGATAGCCTGAAACTGCAAATAATTAAGAGGAGGACCTAGTCTAGAGTTCAACCTTTTAGTTCTTTGGGAAGTTTTCCAGTTGGGTTGTGGGACTCCGATAGTTTAATAATAAGTCCCCAGGTCAGGTATGGAGGTAAATATGTGATGGCCATTTGCCAGCTGTGAAGACCCAGACTGTTTCTGTGCTTTTACATTGTAAGAATCTTTAGTGAATATGCATTTGCTCTGATTATTTGTTTGCTTTAAGTATGTGTGATGACAGCAAATCCCTTGTGAAGATTGATCCTGTAGCGTTGGCTTTATTATCTTGATAGTATAAATAGCTAAAACAACTAAATATAGTCACATCCTTTTGGGAGTGCCTTTAAGTGATGGGCAGCTGTGGATAAAGTAGACAGAGGAAGCAGTGCAAATAAAATGGCTGTGAGTCTAACAATGGCTTCAGGAGCCAAGAAAATTGTTGTTGTTATTGTTCTTTTTTCTTGAAAGCATTATGTAAACAAAGCTCTACACTTTCAAGAAGATAGGAATCTTGAGTTTGAGTCCTGGTTTTGACAGAGATTAATAATATCATCTTGAACAAATGGTTGTCAGGAAGACATAAATAAATGGAGAGATATCTGAGAGATCAGTTGCTTGATCTTTAATGTATGCTTTGTGACACATTGGAAGAAGTCAGTGAATAAATGAATTATAATTTTCTCATGACGTTTCTGGTTGTAACCTTCTAGAATAAGTAATAGTAATAATACTCAAGTGATTTTCTGTTTTGGTTAAGGATTTTTTTTTTTCCTTTGTAATTCTTTGATTAGGCTGGTTTGTGGATTTAGTTTTGCTGTTTTAATTTTAGGTGTCAACTCTTTTGTTTTTTAACTATTCTTTCTTTTATTTTTTTACGAGAGCCTTGGGCCTTATGTCAAAACACTGGGCATGACATAGATACAAATATCAGACTTTCATTCAAACTTTTGTCATGCTTCAAACCTTAACATAATGGGGATTATTCAACTATTCACTAGCCATCCTGAGTCCTAACAACAGAAGAGGCCATTTCAATTGGTCCTATTTTTTATTTGCAGTTTAAAATTTCTAAGGGGCAGTAGATAGTCATGTTGAATTGCTCATGTTTTTGCTTCTCTGAGATAAATCCTATCTGGTTTAGGACTTGGTTACATTAGAGAGCTTGTCTTTCCCTTGTGTCAGTATAGATTATTTGAATTGCTTTAGCCAATATTCCAAATGGCATATGCCAGTGATCTAGGGGTAAATTGTTTCCCTTGGAGAACTCCTTGCCTGTCCAAAAGCTAATTTACACAGAGTGTGTCAACCCTCAGGGTTTGAGTCTTCAGTTTTGGGGGAGCTGATTTTCTACTGTAGTTAAGCTACATTGTTGCTACTCCTATTTATGACTTAAAAATTTATGAAACTTAATTTGTAAGCCTGCCCCAGGGCTCTTAGATAATCAAGTAAGTCTGTCCTGGGTTCAGAATTTTGTAGGCCTCTTAACATGGCAGATGCCTAAGGCTATTTAAAAAGAACAAGGCTTTGCTTTTTGCACTGCTGTCAAGATTTGTTGTACCGTGATTACTACAAAAGGAAAAAGAGTCTTGAATTTGGAATGTTGCAGGTAAATAATCCTAAATGTGCTGTTCTATGCTGCAGTGCCACTTTATTTAGAGCTTTCAGTTACTGACTGGAGAATGATGAATTTAAGGTTGTATTTCAGCTGTTTTCTGTCAAGCAATTTAGAAAAAAAATTATTATAAAAAGTTTTTTTTGAGTTGCAACAATTTTTTATTTAAGGTCAGTCTCTCAAAGACACTTATTAAACCTCTCAATGTACTAAGTAGTGTTCAGAGTAAGTATAGTGCTTTTGAATTATTTTTAATACATTCCTTCAGAACTAATATATTCATACCAAATTAATGTAAACTTATGAGTGTGCTACTTACTTTCTCCTAAATGAATCTCATATTCTAAACTGCTACCTACTTCTCAGTTAGTATCTGTATTAGAAGGAAAAAATGGAATAAAAATAAGTTGATAGAGATATTATGAGAAAGTACAATTTTTCAACTTGCTTACTAGGGAACCCAGAATTTAATCTAAACATTTGAGTTAATATTTACATTTTTAAGATTTTAAAGTATCTTAAGTTATATATAACTTTGTTAAAAACACTGGTTTAGGTGGGTATGTTTTTGTTTTGTTTTGTTTTTGAGTTGGGGTCTTAATCAACCCAGACTGGAGTGCAGTGGCACAATCATGGTTCACCACAGCCTCAGTCTCCTGGGTTCAGGTGATCTTCCTGCCTCAGTCCCCAAAGGAGCTTGGACCACAGGTGTGTACCACAACTCTCGGCTAATTTTTTAATTTTTTTGTAGAGATAAGGTCTCGCTGTGTTGCCCAGGCTGGTCTTGAACTACTTGACTCAAGCAATCTTCTTGCCTCCACCTCCAAAAGTGCTGTGATTACAGGTGTGAGCCACCACATCTGGCCTTGAATATGATTTTTGACTTAAGTGTTTACATTTTAAGCCTGATCACACTAATGGGGAGATCTGTAGAGCACCCATATTTTAGATGTGGAATTTTTCTTTAGGAATCTAAAACAACTATGATTAATTTGCTAAGGGACTCTAATGGATAAAGTAGACAGCGTACAAGAACAAATGGGCAATGTAAGTGGAGAGTTGAAAATGATAAGAAAGAACCAAAAAGAAATGCTAGAGGTAAAAAACACTAGCAGAAATGGAGAATACTGAAAGAAGTTAGAAGACAGAAAGACTTTACCTATAGAAGAACAAAGATAAAGAATTACGTCTGACTTCTCAGAAACCATAAAGGCAAGAAGAGAGTGAAGTGGAATATTTGAAGCATTGAGAGGAAAAAAATACCACCCTAGAACTCTGTACACTATAAATTTCCAAAGGGAAGGAGAAATAGACTTTTTCAGACAAAACTGAGGGAATTTATTGCCAGTAGTCATGGCTTGCAGAACATGTTAAAGGAGAAAAATGGTAGAGGTCAGAAATTTGACTGCACATAAAGAAAGGAAGACCACCAAAGGAGGAGTAAGTGAGGGTAAAATAAAAACTTTTATTTTCCTTAATTGAGCTAACAGATAACAGTTTGTTTAAAATGGCAATACAGAGCCGGGCTCGGTGGCTCAGCCTGTAATCCCATGCCTTTGGGAGGCTGAGGTGAGTGGATTGCCTGAGCCCGCGGGTTCGAGACTCACCTGGGCAGCAGGACCTCATCTCTACAATAAATCAAAAAATCAGCCGGGCGTGGTAGCGCATGCCTGTAATTCCGGCTACTTGGAAGGCTGAGGTGGAAGGATTGCCGGAGCCTGGCAGGTCGAGGCTGCGGTGGCCGGGAGTGGCCACTGCACTCCAGTCTGGGTGACAGAGTGAGATTCCAACTCAAAAAAAATAAAAAAATAAAAATAAATAAAATAAAATGGCAATAACAATGTATTCGATTATGTGTTCTTATGTGCATATGATATAGTATTTGCTCATACATGAGTGATGTGAATGATATCAGTGATACAAGGAAGAAATTAGGATTATTTTTTTATAAGCTACACTATCTGTGAAGTAGTGTGGAATTACTTGAAAGTGGACTTGGATTAGTTGTGCTTACATGTTACAAACTCTAGGGCAACCAATAATAAAAGAAAAAGATTATAACTGATATACTAAGATAAGAGAGAAAATGGAATCATATAAAATTTATAATTACAGAAGGCAAAAAAGAATAGAAGACAAATCAGGAATAAAGAACAAGGGCCACAAACAGAATTCAGTAACACATATGGTAAATATTAATCTAACTGCTTCAATAATCCCTTTGATCATCAGTGGTCTAAATGTACCAATTTAAAAAGATTGTCAACCGGGTTTAGTGGCTCAGCCTGTAATCCTGCGCTTTTGGGAGGCTGAGGTGAGTGGATTGCCTGAGCCCGTGGGTTCGAGACCCGCCAGGGCAATTTGGCAAGACCTCATCTCTACAATAAATAAAAATGAGCCAGGTGTGGTAGCACACACCTGTAATTCCGGCCACTTGGAAGGCTGAGGTGGAAGGATCGCTGGAGCCCAGCAGGTCGAGGCTGCAGTGGCCAGGAGTGGCCACTGCACTCCAGTCTGGGTGACAGAGTGAGACTCCAACTCAAAAAAAAAAAAAGATTGTCAGAGTGGATCAAAAACAAGACCAACTATACGTTGTCTGTAAGAAACTCACTTTTAAGTATAAGGACACAGATTAAAAGTAAATGAATGAAGAAAAATCAAAAGATAGCTAATAAAAAGAAACCAGAAGTAGCTATCTTAATTTCAGATAGCAGATTTCAAAACAAGGGAAGTTATCAGGGATAAAGAAGGGCAGTATAAGTCGGACACGGTGTCTCTCTCCTATAATCCCAGTACTTTGGGAGCTTGAGGCAAGTGGATCGTTTGAGCTCAAGGAGTCTGAGACCAGCCTGGGCAATATAGTGAGACCTCATCTCTCCAAAAGTAAAAAAATTAACTGAGCGTGGTGATGCTTGCTTGCAGTTCTAGCTACTTGGGAGGCTGAGGTTGGAGAATTACTGGAGCCCAGGAGTTTGAGGCTGCGGTGAGTTGTGACTGTGCCACTGCACTGCAGTCTGAGTGACCGGGTGAGACCTCAACTCAAAAAAACGAAAAAACAAAAAAACAAACATTGCATAATGTTAAAGAGGTTGTTATCTAAGAGGACATGACAATCCTTAACTTGTATGTGCCTCATAACACAGTGTCAAACTATCTGAGGCAAAAACTAATACAACTGCATGAAGAAACAGATGAATTCACTATCACAGTTGCATATTTCAAGACCCCTCTACCAGTAATGGACAGATCCAGCAGGCAGAAAATCAGTGAGGACACAGTTGAACTCAGCAACGCTACCAGTCAACTGAATACAATTGACACCTATAGACTACTTCAACAACAGCAGAATGCACGTTCTTCTCAAGTTCACATGGAATGTTCACCAAGATAGACCAAATTCTAGGCCATAAACACACCTTAACACATTTAAAAGAATAGACATCATGCAGTGTCTTTTCTCAGACGGCAATGGAATTAAACTAGAAATCAATAAGAAAAAGATAAATGGAAAAACTGCCAAATTCATGGAGTTTATATAGAAATCTCAAGAGAAATTTTAATTTTGTACTAAGTAAAAATGAAAACACAACTTATCAAAAGTTGTGGGATGCAGCAAGAGTACTGCTTAGAGGGAAATCAATCGTATTAAATGCACGTGTTAGAAAAGTAGAAAGATCAATAAAGTTTCTGCCTTAAGAAACAAGAAAAAGAAGAGCAAGTTAAATCCAAAGTAAGCAGAAGAAAGAAAGAAAGAAAGACAGTTGTTCCCCAGAATCCATGGACTTCCTATGGATATGAAAATCTGCAGATTCTCAAGTCCTTGTAGAAGAGTACCACATATTCTCACTCATAAGCAGACCCTGAACATTATCATAGTACTATAAGAAAGGGATTGTCAGTAATGGGACACTGCCAGGAGAGGGAGTAGGGGAGGGGGCACATAACATCTATAAGGGTACCTGAAACCAAACCAGGCAAAGTGGGTACAAAAGGAAGGCCTAAACTTCACCTGTATGATGACTACTTATGTACCTAATTCTGAATTGTACCCCACATCTTTAAAATAAAATTTTTTAAAAAATGGTACAGTATTTGCATAGGACCTATGTACATCTTCCCATATATTTTCAATCATCTCTAGATTACTTATAATACCTAATATAAGACAAATGCTATGTAGATAGTTGTTATACTGTATTATTTATAGAATAATGACAAGGCAAAAATCTACATGTTCAGTACAGATGCAATTAAAAAAAAATTCAATCCTTGGCTGATGGAATCTGCGGGTATGGAACTCACTGATACGAAGACCGGACTGCAATAAGAATTAGAGCAGAAATCAATGAAATTGAAAACAGAAAATCAACAGAGAAAATCAATAAAATCAAAAGCTGGTTCTTTGAAAAGATTGATAAAATCAATAACGCTCTAACTGGGCTAAGAAAAAAATAGGATACAAATTACTAACATTAGAAATGAAAGAGAGCACATCACTATAAGGACCATCACTATTACTGCTATAGACATTAAGAGGATAATAAACGAATTGTATGAACAACTTGGTGCTTACAGATTTGATAACCTAAATTAAATAGACCAATTCCTTGAAAGACACAATTTGCTAAAACTCACACAAGAAGAAATTGTAGACGAATGAATTAGTAAACCAGTGCATCCAGACAATGGAATGTTATCCAGCAATATAAAGACATGAGCTATCAAGTCATGAAAAGACATGGGAAAAGTTTAAATGCATATTGCTAAGTGAAAGAAGCCAATCTGAAAAGACTACTTAATATGTTATTTCAATTATATAACATGGAAAAGGCAAAACTTTTGCATAGACAATAAAAAGAACAGTGGTTGCCAGGTTAAGAGAGAGGGTATGAAAAGCTGTAGCTCAGAGGATTTTTAGGGCAGTAGAAATACTCTATGATATTATAATGGTGGATGCATGTCATTATACATTTGTCTAAACCCATAGAATGTGCAACACAAAAGGTGAACCCTCATGTAAACTGTGAACTTTGTGCGGTAATGATGTGTCAACGTAGGTTCATTAGTTTTAACAAATGGACCATGCTGGTGGGGGATACTGACGAAGGGAAGACGATGCATGTGTTAGGGATTAAGGGTATTTGGGAAACCTCTGTACCTTCCTGTCAGTTTTGCTGTGAACCTAAAACTGCTCTAAGAAATAAAGTCTTAAAAAAAATCAAGGACCTTCTGTGTCTACTCTTTCTCATTATTTATCCTAATTATGTACTGACCCTTGTACTCAACCATTGAAATGTATTTATTTGGAGCAATTTGAGTATCAATAAGGCTAATAACTGTATATATTGAAATATATCAAATGTATATTTAAATTGCTGAATGAGGTCATAGTGATACTAGAAAATCAAAATGAAAAACTGGTCACTTTTGGATGATACTAGAGAATTCATGTATTATTTTGAAAACTAACTTTTAAAAAGTGTAAAAATCAAGCATTTATCCTGACTTTCTCATATCACCTATATTTCAGGGTATCTAAATCGTTAATGAGGGAAAGTTTCTCTCTGTAGACCAGATAATAAGTTAGAAGGAATAATATAATTAAAAGATCACCAACCTGCAAGTTAATAAATGAAGGCAATGATTATCAATGGTTGGCACCATCACAAAAGGAGAGATGAGCAGACATTATTATGTACCTCCTGATGGAACTATACACTACATACACATCTATGATGTATTTTTCCAAACACTTAATCTGGTACAGATTTTCTATTCTAGATCAGATTTGCAGAAAACACAGGGAATGGAGATGCATGTTAACACCATAGGGACATAGTAAAACCCAAACCTTCAGAAATTCAGTAAGATAAACAATCCATTTCTTCAAGTAGGGAATAAGAAAAACTGAAGGAATGTATAGATTAGACGAGACTTGAAAAGTTGCATCTTATTTGGATCCTGATTTGAATAAAATAATTAAAAAATAGTTAATCGAGGGAGTTTGAACATTGACTAAATGTATGTTGGTGGTGTAAAGATATTTAGAGTTTGCTTTAATTGATACAGGGAAGAGGGCAATGGGTGGGGGATACAAAAGGTAGTAAGATTGGCTATGAGTTGATAATTGTTGAGGAATGTATAAGAGTTCATAGTATAATTCTCTGTACTTTTTTATATGCTTAACATTTGATAGAATAAAATAATGCATTCAGCAAATATCAAATGCATATTACATGCCATGCACTACTGGTAGGTTTTATATTGGTTAATAAGCAGATGTAAATTATCACTAACCTGGTGGAACTTTCAGTCTCCAGAGGAGACAGATAGTAAACTAAATAAAGAAATATATATATATATTATGAATTGTGATGTCTACTGTGAAGGGTAATGAGTACAGTTCAGTAATAGAGATGACCTACTTCTAGGCTTCTCTGCAGCAATGATACTTCAGTCCAGATCTTAAGGATAAAAATATTTAGCCATGCTCAGAGACCACAGACAGATTCCAGGAAAGGTTAACAGGTGATGCGAGGAAGGGCTTGATGTGGGTCTGCTTGTTCTCTCTGCTCCAAGCACTAATATCTTATTGTTTAGCCATTTGTTGATTTAGTATTTCTTTTGTTGACTATCTGTTGTATATTATGTGTGTCTAACCTTGGATCTAATAAAGCACAAACTCTAGAACTGCTCCTAAGCCTGGCATAGCTTCATGTGCCCTGCATGGATGTCATTGATAATACTTTTTTTTTTTAACCTATAGACTTTTCAAATAACTATCAGAATGTAGATTAAAAACAGCCTTGTGTCTTTGAACAAACCTATCAGCAATTAAAATGAAGTGCATCCTAGTACTGGAAGATAAGAGACATATATCTTGGGTTCTGAATTATATTTTGCTAAAATAACTACAACAAATCTTGTTTCTTAGTTACTCTTCTGACTGTTAGAGTAAAAAATATAGTTTTTTTTTTTGAAGTGCCTGAATTTCTTACAATGAATTAAAAATGTTATATTATTTAAGTATCATATTTTCTAAGAGTAATTACGAGTCAGGCACTATTAGAGAATCAATAAATGTTAAATAAATAAATGATTGGCGCCTTGCATAAACTTCTCCTTGCTAAAGCTTTCTCTTTGGGTCCATATCAGAGCGTTCTACTATATTTGTTTCAGTAATTATTTTGCACTCCTATGTTTTTCTTTCTTGGATTATTTTTTGAAAGACTGCGTCTTCTTCTTGACTCAGCTATTAGTACTCTGGGCAGGAGTACGTGTGTGTGTGTGTGTGTGTGTGTGTGTGTGTGTGTGTGTGTGTGTGTGTGTGTGGTGGGGGAGT